GGGGGGGGGGGGGGGGGGGGGGAGTGATTATGGTACTTTTTTCAAAAAACTGTTATCAAATCGAACATCATGTCAGTGTTCGTCATACTGTGAAAGCACTTCAATAAATTGTAGGATTTGAAAAACTGAATTTTGACAGAAATGCAAGAGCTAAAAAATGTCTGAAAAAAGTTAATTAAAACTGCAGCAACTTCATTATGTTTGGAAAAAGCCTATTGGCGATAAATTAAAAGTCTCTGGAGATAGCAACAACTGCCGCAGAAGGGCAACAGGAGCTTCACTCTGTTTGAAGCACTAATTTGGATTAAAAATTCTGGTAAACTGATACCGACTTCCGCGTGCAGAGCATTTGCCGCATTTCAGGCAAATAGAAGCAAAATCCTTGACCCACAGATGTTCATTGGGCATACAATACAAACTTTCTTCTACTGCTTCTTCGCTCGGTGATGGCTGCTCCGGATACTGACAGTCGCTGTTTTTCCCAAAGCGAGATTCAACATCAGGATGGACATCATCCGTCTGTAAAACAGAATTTTTAAAACGAGCGAGATTAACGGCTACACTTTTCTTTTAAGTTTTAGTCATTTTATTTTTCCCTCTTGCATCAACTTTTATTTCTGTAAGAAAAATGCCTGACCTCATTCCTCCTTTCTGCAACAGAAATATGTCTAACAAAAATGTGCCTATGTATGGGTGTAGCAGAATTTATGACGAAACAATGGCTGTTTTGAATACATAACTTTGCGGACGAGATCACAGGCTTACTGGAACTGATCTTTTAGTAATCCATTCTGTCAATCCGCGTCCGGCAGTGCTTAACCATCTCAACCGCACTGCTATTTCAAATAATGCAAAAAACAAATAAAATGGAAGCATGATCAGAGGACAAAAGAACTGGAGAAATTTACTTCTGTTCTACCGCACTGATTCAGGTTATTCATGCCCCAAGTGTAAAGATGTCCATAACGAGTTATCGCAACAGCATGCGTTTTTCCAAGCGCAATCGACACCAAATGAACATTTTCCAAGCCATAAATATAGCCAGATTCTGGATGACATTGCATTGCATGACGCCCGCAGACATATGCTCGGCCATTATCGGTTACATAAGCAATGCATCCCGATGATATCGCCACTGATACGCATCGGCGCCTGTAAGAAGCGCGTGCGCAAAATCAAAGGCAATAGCGAACGACTTTTTAGGTGCTGCCTAGGCAGTGAAATTGATGATCAACTATGATAGACATCAGAGAATTTACAAATAGAAGATTACAGCATGACAGCAGCTTAGGGCTTTTGAACTGCATCTGCACTAAAACTGCTTAAATCCGGAATTTCTGCAACTCAGTCACAAAAAAGATTGGGATGTGAAATGAAGCAGTGAAGTGAAGCGAAGAGTTACATCGTGTAAAAAGCGTAAAAAGCTTTTCTACATAAGCCAAGTTACAGCGATGTGCATCGCAAGCTTGACTGGTTAGTTATTTTAAAACCTTACCAAACGCAGCGCAAAACAACTGAGCACCAGTCTGTCAACGATTTTATCAGATATCCGTGTTTTATTTTTGAAATTCTGCTAATTCGGCATAAAAGCAGTAAAATTTTTCCTTACCTGTTTGACGTCTGCAACTTCCTTAACTTGACAGCCGCCGAGCCAGCTTCCTGCTTTTTGAAGCGACCTGCTGCAGGGCTTTTCTGGCATGCAGCTTCTGGACCTACACCGGCAATCCACAAATGTCCGGACCCGGAACGCAAAATAATAGTTTCTGTATCAAAACCAACTGCTATTGAAACCACAGATTCCGGTAAAACCAATTCCATCCAATTGGTACCAGCATCCTAGCAAAAAAACAAAACTATCACAAAAGCGACACAATGAATTCATTGCCCTCAGCAGTTTTGTTCAATAAATTTGAAACATCCATGCGTCTGCAATCCAGATGGACGGTACTCTTCTCTATCTAATCTCAGTATATATTTGGCACGGAAAAAGTTTAAATAATAGCTGTAGCGGAGAAATACTAAATATGCACATATATACATTTAAAGTGCGACCGGTGTCAGAGGTCCACGTTATTGATATTGCTGCGACGCGTCCACACGTCCGGCACATTTTGTGTTGGAGCAAAACCGTTTTCATCCGGCTGTCGGGTATCCTTTTTTTGGCCAAATACTAACTAAATCAAGCGGCAAGAGCTTTCAAATTTTGTGTTTTCCAGATCTGATGAGTTCGACGTTAATTACCAGAGCCTTCCCATTTTTATGCGTTTTGTGCTGTATAACAGCGTTACAAAACGCATATTGTCACGGGGTTGTCTGTGTGTGT